TCCTGCATTACCTCAAGGACCCTAAACTATGGGAAGTATGGTATATTACTTATTATGGGTAATGCAGGATTTATGTCATCAAACCCCTAAACCCTAAACCCCAAACCCTAAACCCTAAAACCCTAAACCCAACGCCCTAAACCCTAAACCCTAAACCCCTATCAAACCGCAGGACCCCTGTTGATTCCTGGCTATTGGGGATCCCAGTTGCTTGGGGCCTCCCCCATAGACGGAAACCTTCACTTCTTCAGGCAGCTGTCGAATCAACCCTGGGTGTAGGGTTTAGGGTTAGGGGTTAGGGTTTAGGGTTTAGGGTTTAGGGCTGTCGAATCAACCATGGGGTCTTTATTATTTGAATCCCTTTCAAAAGGGGTTTAGTCTTTGCCGGTAGGGCCATCTGGTCTAGGACGTTTTCAGGTGGGTAGTTACCGTTATAGGAGCCTTATAGAAGGTCTATATACCTTATAGAAGCCTTATGGAAGCCCAAAATACCCTAAACTCATTACCCGTAGTTTCCTTTAATCTGGAGCAGGTTGCTTCTGGCTTGGCCGTGTTGGTCACTTTGGCCGGCGCTGTGGTCTTGTGCCCTTGCGCGAGTTTCCGAAAGCCGAGGAACCGTAAACCCTAAACCCTTGCAAAAAATCGTAAATCCCTGAATCTAGGACATTTTTCAGGTGGGTAGTTACCGTTATAGGGGCCTTATAGAAGGTCTATATACCTTTATAGAAGCCTTATAGAAGCCCTAAATACCCTAAACTCCCTCCCCACGTGTAGTTTCCTTCAACTAAACCTTACACCCCTAAACCCGACACCCCTAGAATGTTGGATGCGGGGCCTTTGGCTCAAGCTTTACATGGCAGCTAGACAGTGATACTGTTGATGATATAAATCCTGCATTACCTTAAGGACCCTAAGCTATGGGAATTATGGTATATTCCTTATTATGGGTAGTGCAGGATTTATATCATCAACCGTAAGACAAAACGATGAAGTCAGAGGGTCTTTGTCTTGTATGCTACTGCTGCATACTTAAATAGTGGGTCCTGCTACTCTACTCACACTACTTTAAAGGATCCTAAGCACCTATATTATTGTATAGCAAGGAATGTAGCGTTTCTACAACATCATTTGATTACTTCTGTGGTTTGGGTAAGCATGCCCCATATAACTACTTAGGACCCTTTGGGTACACAAGCCTTGAATTCTAGCATCTTCTTCCAAGAGTCGCTCCTGAGAGATCTTTCGGGCTGTGTGTTCATTCGTAACAGGGAAGCTGGACTTATGATTATGGTGTCGGGTGTGGGTATTTTGAGGGTTTACCTAAACCCCAAAGAACCTACCGTTGTAGGACTTCTATAGGGAATTCAAAATAAGCAACCCCAAAGAACCTACCTTTTTAGGGACTTATAAAAGGAATTCATAATAAGGAACCCTAAAAAAGTAGGTTCTTCAGGGTCCAGGTAGGATTTACGGTTTTTCGGTTCTCCGGCAGACTTTTGAAAGCTTGCGGGTCGATGAGGTGTTTCGGATGAATTCGGAAATTTTTGGGGGCTTTCGTATACCCTAAACCTAGCCCTAAGGCTGTAAGGACTCATATCTTGAGGCATTTGGGCCCAAAGACCATACTATAGAGGGTTTTTGAGCTATTTTGAGCCGTAGGGTAAGTTATGCTAAGTTTATGGCACAGGGTTTCCTGCGGTGTAAATGTTGTAGGACCATCGAGGATCAAGACAACAAAGGCTTCTGAGGCCCTTAGCCGGGCGGAACTTTGAATAAACCCTTCCCCCTAGTCCCTAGCCCTAAACCTTAAACCTTCAACCAAAGCCCCACACGCAAAGCCCTAAATAATAAACCAAGAGGTAACCACCGACGCACAAACCCAACCCCTAGACCCCTTCCCGTCGTGCCTCCGCCCGGTGGGGCGCTCCACACGCACTTTTTGTGCTCGAACCATCAGCCTGCGGCGAAGCCGCTTCGTTCTCTGCCTTCGCAGAGCTTGGTTTGACACTGGTTCAAAAGTCTTCTGAAGTAAAAAGCTGAACCTGCCATCTCTCCTATGAAAGAATGAAAGGCAGACGGAAGTTGCCATATACTGCACTCCACCATTGTTCAGCCCTACAAGGCTTCGTAAGGATATCAGCAAGTTGATACGAAGTAGGAACCCAGTAAAGTGGAGTACGATCAGACAACTTCTCTAAGTCAAGGCTTTGACGAAGTGCCGACAAATCAATGGCAAGCCTCCTGTCTGAGGGGATCTTTGGAATCCCCTCCTTGTGGAGGTGATCGTACAGACTTTTGCAGTCTGTGATACATCTCAGATGCATCCCGGCAAGCGCTTCTACCCTCTGGAGCTTTCCTCTTAAGACTGTCTGGATATACGATCTAATGAACTGGCCATTTTCAACAGCCTCAACACAGATGGTGGTCTCTGCGCCGAAAGTTGATCTACAGACCCGCTGACTAGCTGCTGACTTCCAGTCCAAGATACTGCATACCCCGCCACCGCTGTTGTAGCTCTTTTTGTCTGTCAAGAGAACAAGGCACCCAAGCTGACTAGCGACAGAGGAGTTGGTCCTCTTAGTTTTTCGTTCCTTCCAGTCAAAAGGAGTACCAGACATCTGCCCAGCATCATGCTCGGCCTGAGTGAGCCTGAATCCCTCTTCCCCGGAGAGCCTCGCGTTAGCCCAAGCAGCATCATGAAACACCAGAAGCTCTAGCTGATCCAGATCGAGGGGTTTCAGCCAGATGCCCTTGTCCTTGTGATCCCAAGCCCTTCGAGCCACAAGATTGGTGAATCTGATGTCTCCAGCCGTCGGCCGTTGTTGTAGCTGCTGTGCGAGCGAGACTCCAGA